GTCTCTCTTTCTCTCTCTCTCTCATTCACACACACATACATCCACACACACACACACACACACACACACACACACACACACACACACACACACACACAAATCCCACATCATGCATCATCCATCCATCCACACAAACCTTGTTGACTAGTGTGAGCATGTTACTGCTAAAGAAGGGAGGCTCCAGCATACACATCTGATAGAGGATACATCCAAGGGCCCAGATGTCAGCCTTCTCTCCATAGGCCTGGCTCTGCACTACCTCAGGGCTGAAACACAACACAATCAGGTCTTTATACATGAATCTATGTCACGCTGATGTCAAAATCAATTGCCAAAGACAAATTTATTGAAACAAAAAAATTGTAATATATAATATGCCTATTCTCCTAAGTGCTACTGGCAGGCAAGAATCATCAAGACCATCATGTACATAATACAACATAATACAAGGTATACCGCTCAAGCATAAAAACCTGATCCTGGTGTGCACAAGACAAGAACGATAAACCTACACATCCTGTCCATTACTCAATTAATCATGACATCAGCTGACAAGAAACATAAATGCCAAAGATTCAGATCAGATGTGCTAAGCAAAAGAAGGAGGAGAGATAAGAACAAAAGATGTCTGAAAGGAAAAAAGGAGGCTGAAGCACAACACAATCAGGTCACATAGGTGCCAAAGATTCAGATCAGATGTGTTATTAGAGTGTAACATACAAACAAAAGAAGGAAAAGAATAAGAACAATAGATGTCTGATAGGAAAAAAGGAGGCTGAAACACAACAGAGAGGAAATTCAACACTCATATCACTACAGTCGGGCACAGAAAACACAAACACAGAAAACTTGAAATCATGGATAGCTCGTACAACTTGCCATTCCCCGACTGACCTAGAGGTGATACTTGAGAGTAACAATATCAAAAAAGAAAGAGGAGAGATAAGGATGAAAGATGTTTGATAGGAAAGAAGGAGCAAACCACATCAGAGTACCGGCCAACCACCGACGGAACATATCAGTGAACATGAGAGCAACATACCAGCAGTAGAGCATGGTGCCCACCACAGACATCATCTTGCTGCAGTCGCTGCGCTTCTGCTTGGCCAGGCCAAAATCAGCTGGGGACAGAGAATAAAAAATAACTTACTGGAAAGCATGGTGTATTTCACACAACTCGCAAGTAAGTAAAAAGCAAAATGTGAGGCGTACTGACAAAATTAGGAACTCTTCATATTTTGGCCCCATGAAAATAGCTAGCTATGTCAAATCTAAAGATCGAGTTCGTACAATTTATAAGTATGAAATAACACATTTATTTGAAGAGAAAAAATTACATGCTTTGAAAATCAACAAATTTGATGCCTGTGCAGACTGCGAGAAGTATCTCATTCTGTCAGCAAACCTCACACATAGATTTAGCGGAAAGCGTGGCATATTTCACATAACTCCCAAGTAAGCCAAAAGCAAAAATGTGTCACAACTGACATAATCACACATTCCATATCAGAGTCATGGACTCACATCCCTTCCCCTAAACGACATCTAAAAAACCCTACTCCCTTCCATTAAAGACAAAAGCATCAGAATATGCCCAGTTTTGACAATGACTGTGCTACTGCGGACCTTCCTTCCATCCCCACCCCCTCCCAAACAAGGACGAAGAATGAGATTATGTCCACATTTTGATAATGATCATGTTTCTGCAACCTCTCCACCCCCACCCCCCCTCCCCTCCTTCCTCAACTCAACCCATCCCCATACACACTCACACATACGTTCACACAGCGTAAGCATGCGAAAACTTATACACAAAGTTGTGTCATTTTATGTCTGCATGATGTACATGAAAGCTGCATGTATTTTAATGTCTTTGTAGGCTACTATGACATGTCTTGTAAAGCACACTGAGCATAGAAATTATGGAAATACGCTATATAAATGCCATGCACTATCACTATTATCGTTATTACTATTATTTCTGTTATTATTATTATTATTATTACTATTATTATTATATTATGATAGTTGTAAATCACATAGAGCATGGACGTGCACTAAATAAATTCAATTATTATCAATAATATTATCTTTATTATTACTATTATTATCATTATCATTATTACTATTTTTATTATCATCATCATCATCATCATCATCATCATCATCATCATCATCATCATCATCATCATCATCATCATTATCATTAAAAACTTACTGATGGTAACCTTGTCATTTTCCCCCAGCATGATGTTGTTGGCAGTCAGATCTCGGTGGACAATGCCCTTTTCTTTGTGCAGGTAACGGAGAGCCAACATCAGCTGGAGATATCACAGATTTTGTATCAGCTTCAACTCTAAATACCACTATATAATTTTTTTTTCCCCCATCATGTCAGAAACCACACCCACTGGCAGAATGCATTTTAGAATATTTTTCAATTCAAGTTCACCAATGCTCCAAGCTCAAGCAAAAAGACAACCCTCCACTCCCAATATATTTTTCAAGGGTCAATGAAATTCTATTACATTATCATCACTGAAAAGATCTTTTAAGTAAACATTTTACAGCACTTGCAACACAAATAGGTCGTATAAGTGCAGAATATTAGAACAAATGCCAGAGAGGAACACACAAAGAAAAGAAGGAAGAGAGATAAGGACAATAGATGTTTGACAGGAAAGAAGGAGCAAACCACACCACAGCACACACCAACCACTCACTTGTTAGAGAGTTTCATTTTAGTCAGAGTTTTACGGCACTTGCAACACAATAAGGTCATATAAGTGCCGAAGATTAGAGGTGTCGCAAGAGAGTAACAAACACAAAAAAGAAGGGGGGAGATAATGACAATAGATGTTTGATAGGAAAGAAGGAGCAAACCACACCACAGCACACACCAACCATCCACTTGTAAGAGAAAAGCATACAAAGAAAAGAAAAAAGAGAGGTAATGAATGCAGGTACAGCATACAGAGAGCGACACCCAGAAACTAGAAGACGTACTACGTACCTGTAGCAGAATGCTCCAGATGCGTGCCTCCTCAAACCTATCTTTCTTCTCCTTGAGAGACTTGCAGTGTTCCTCCAGGGCGGCTCCCTCAATCAGCTCCATCACAATGTACAATTTGTCTTCTGTTCTCACGGACAAAGCAAAAAATGACAAAGCGTGAAAAATTTATACGTTTGGTTTTAGTGGAAGTTTTACAAAATGCAACACAATTAGGTCATATAAGTTCAGAAGATTAACCCTATCCGTACGTTGTGTTTTACTATCGGATCCATAAGATGTGGGGAACTCTGTGCCACCACTTTCAAAGAGGAAATTTACTCATTAATCTGATCAGTACGCTTTGCATAACAGTCTGTCAAAACAATTTTTTGAGAAATACTGAAAGTTTCAAAGAGATCTTCGTACTAGAAGTATTCTAAAATGTGAAGAATACAATCCCGGGGGTACAAAATGGCCCCAGTGCGTACGGATAGGGTTAAAGGTGTAACTAAAGCGATGGAGGAGTGATAAGGACGATAGATATCCGATAGGAAAGAAGGAGCAAACCACACCGGAGCACAAAATCTGTTCTAGGGGAGCCAACTTTTGCAAAACCCAATCTTTTTACCTCCATCAAATATCTTTTCCACTCACCTATCTCGAACGTCTTGTAGTAACGGACAACGTTAGGATGTCTCATCTCTTCCTTCATGATCCTCAGCTCATATGTAATCTCCCCGACACTCTTTGCCTTTTCTTTATCATTCTTGCCAAAAGCAGCATTCTGTAGATTAACCTGTGGATTATAAACAGACAAAATCGTCACATGTAAAGGGTAGTCATTAATTTCTAAGACATCAAGTTTAGCAAAAAACTTGAAGTAAAGCATTATTATAATCTGCAGTAAAAAATAAATTCAGATAAAGCAAAAGTAATCATCAAAGACAGCAACAGTATTTGAATTTATAAGATAAAGAATCTTTTTTTATAACCAAATATTCTATGAATATATTTGTAACTGCAATATAATTCACAAAGTTCTTACTCTCAGACAACAAAAGCAAGGACATGTACCTCTTTCAGAGCAAGAAAGGACTGTCGTCCTGTTTTCTTTTGCACTTTGTAGACAGCGCCAAAAGCCCCAGTGCCCAGGAGCTCAAAGACGGCAAACTCTCTGATGTGTCTAGTCGCAGCTTTATTCTGGTTGGTGTTACAGATGCTCTCGTAGATCTTGTTTACTTCTTCCTTCTGTAAGTAAGGAAATTGATGAATGTGTAAAAAAAAGGAACATTCTGATTAGAGCTAAAAAAAACACCTCAAAATATACTCTTCAAAGAACATGACAAAGTATTTCTTTGTTTTTCATACAATCTTTTTTCCAGCTTGATAATGAACATGCTCATCGTAGGCCTACAAATCCCCATTGTAATTATAGCATGGAAACAACAAAATGTAATCCTTCCAGTCCATTTATGGCGATTTCCAATACATGGTTACACCATTACTGTGATCAATACGGGTTTCTACATTGCTACTTTAAATAAACAAGCAGTTCATAACAAGTTATTTCCCACTATAGGGCCACTGCTCAAGGGTGGTAGAACGGGTTAAGCTTTTGACCAAGTTCTCACCAAAACTCATCTCCACTGACATTGGGAGCCCACTAGTCTGTAAATTTCTTTGATTTTAGTTTTAGTAAGGGTTTTATAGCACTTGCAACACAAATAGGTCACACAAGAGCTGAAGATCAGAGATGTGAAAAGAGAGTAACATACAAACAAAAGGAGGAGAGATAAGGATGGAAGGAAGAGGAAGCAAGAAAAAGAGACCGAAGAACAGAAAAAAAAGAGTAAGAGAATGAAAGCAAAATAGCAAATGTTGTCCCATCCCAATTTAAACACACAGACAGTAGCTGACATACACTCTGACCCCTCACCTGCAGACAGTTGATTTTGTCAGCCAGAGGTTTGTAGGCATTCAAGTCTCGGTTGTAGTGGCCTACATCAATGAACATCTCAAACAGGTCAGCCGGAAACCACTGCTTGAAAAGACGCCGATTTCGTTCCATACTGAACAGGAAGCGCAAAGCTCGGAAGGCATTTTGCTGGGAAAAAAAAATGAATTTTTGTAACTACATCTTCTTGTTATCTTATAAATGATAATAAGTTCTGCTTCCAAAGAAAAGTATGTCACTGAGTCCAATCTACAATACCAACTGAAAAAAATAGAATAAACATTTAAATAATTCTCAAGAATTTTTTTGTTCAGAAAACAATTGTACCAAAACCATTATGCCCTGACATAAAATGTATCTTTTAAATATGTGGGTTTTGATTTCTCTATGCAGAAGTCAACAGTAAAATAAACTTTCAAATCTCTTTCTCAATGGGGTCTGAATCACAGTTCCTTTATCAAGGAAAAGGTTTTCTTTGTTTGAATTAAAGAGAAGCACAAGATACTGATCACATTGAGCTGGGTATTAATAAACTGAAATGACAGAAAGATAGCAAAGAAGCAGGACCAGAAAATTGTTTCCTCTAACAACCATTCTTATAGAAAAGATACCCAATCCAAATACAGTCTAGCACGCACATTGGGAAATCAGCGAGACATGGAAATCTTTTCGTTATGCATGAATTTCGCTGTGTATGTGTTTTAAATAGAAAGAATACATATTAAGAGAAAGAAAAAATTTGGGACTTGAAAATCTGTTCACTATGAGCATGTTTTGCTATGAATATCTTCACTAGATGAGTGTTCCCTATGCGCATGTTTCACTATGTGTGTGTTTGCTATGGCGCATGCTTGACTGTACAAAGCACACAGTTTCAAGACAAAAGCAAACATTGTGGTCAGTCCATAAGCCAGGTGTGTTCGCTCACCTGTAACTTGGTGGCTCGCTTTCTCTCCTTCTCCGAGAGCACTTCTTGAGGCAGAATGAGGAGGCCCAGAGCGTAGAGGCCGTTAGCCTGCACTATCTGCTGTGCGCTGCTGTCCGTCAAGACTAGCTCCGTCAGGGCCGCACAGCATGCTGTGTGGGACAACACAGAACATATTCCAATTTTTAAGCAGCCTCGGATACGCCAGTCATAAAAAAATCGGAATCTTGTTTTATCCCACTTACTTTTACAAAATAATGAGGTCATATAGGTGCTGAAGATTAGCTATAGTTTTCGTAAGAGTTTTACGGCACTTGAAACAAGGTAAGATCATATGAGTGCCGAAGAATAGATGTGTTACAAAAGAGTAATATACACAAAAAAGAAGGAGGAGGGATAAAGATGATAGATGTTTGATAGGAATGAAGGAACAAACCACACCAGAGCATTCGCCAACCACCAACTGCCAAAGATTAGAGGTATTATATGATAAGGACAATAGGATGAGATATGGACAAGATAAGGGTAATAGGAAAGAAGGAGCAAACAAAACCAGAGCACCCACCAACCACCCATTTTCTCTGTTAGCATATCATTGGAAAGTTGTTCAAATGTAATAAGTCTAGAAAGCAAAATTTCTAAGGAGGAAGTAAAAAACTGGTTCATTTTTTTTATCAACAGTACCTACATAATGCATTTTTGTTCTCGCTTTTTTATTTCAATATTTAGAATTTAAATTTCGACAAAATATTTCTTGAGCACAAGTAAATGATACCACAGATTAAGAAACTGCAATAAAGAAATGTGAGGTGTGCTGACAAATTCGGATTTCAGCCTGATGGCAATTGATCCATCAACTTGATAGGTGAAGTTTTTACAGTTTGTAAGTATAAATACTAAAAGACACGGTAGACTTGAAGAAAATGGCGTCAGTTGAAAAACTATTAATATTACCCCAGTGTCGATTTTCGGCCGACATCTCCATTCTTGGATTGCGAGAAGTAACTCATTTTGTCAGCACACCTCACAAATATTTTTTGACAACATCTGAACAGCTGGTCGACAATATACATTTACGAGAGTGTTGACAGACACAGTAATAACCTTAAAAGTTGAGAGAAAACAAGATGCCAGGTAGAAATGGTGAGGCACACAAAAAAGTAGAACCTACTAGCCACATCCAAATACTCTCCACTATTAAAATGGTTGTACTATTAAGAGCACAAACCATTTCTTCAGTGAGGCAGTAACATTATCAAAAAACTGAACTACAAACTTTTACTCATACAAACAAAAATGTGTACACATAAACAAAACTCAAAACTAACAATGTTCAACATACCTTTTCTCAAGTTGAATTGCTCATCAATGAATTCTTCCTGCGGAAAAGAATAAAGAAAAACAAAGTCAACAATTAGAGTACAGACTAACCGAGACAGGCACTATAAAAGAAGCAGTTTCTTAAACTTATTGTTTGTTTTGGTAAGTGCTTTACGGCATTCACAACTGCATAAGGTCATATGAGCGCACGTACATTTTAAACATTTTCAGTTTTGTAGGAATTGTTTTACTTTGCCCTGTTGGTGGCCGAAGCCTACTCTTATCGATTTTAGGACAACCAATGGATCTTTAACGAGCGCAACTTGCACGCAGGACCCTCGAGATTTTTTGCCCTTATCCGAGAAGGGTAAGTGTTGGATCTTACCTACCGTAAGATCAGGGGGGTGGCTGAAAGACAGCAGTATTGTAAGAAGGAGCCAAGGAGTAGCAGTAGAAAGGCTGCAGAAAGAGTCAGGAGGGGACAAACGGGACAAAGGGGACGGGGAGAGGGGGCAGAAAGTAGAGACGAAAGCAGACCACAGAACATGGTTTGAGAGCGGGAAAGGAGGCGAAAGTAGAAAATTTAGAGAAGAAAATTTTCCGTCGCTGTCAGGTTTCAAATGAGGGGCGAACGACGTAACCTCTTGACCACAAGAGCCCCCATCTTAAACTTAAAAGGACGCCAGAATGAAAAAGTAATTCCTTTTCTTTAATGCTGTGGTCTCAAGACAAAAATGAACTTATAGCTAAATGTAAAATTCTTTTTATATTTTCTTTGCAAACTTTGAATACACGCTGAATATCGATTAGCAACAGCTGGTTTTGAACTGAGTAGCTGCTAAATCTCTAAGAGATTACACTAAAAAGAGTTAGTCGGAGTGTAAAGAAAACAGAAAAAATCAAATTGTGTGTCAAGTCGTGGCAGTCATGGTAACAAAAACATCAAATTTAAAATATTAAAAAAAGTGGAGAGATGATGACAGGGAAACTAAGAGTTCAGTGCCAATTAATACATTTCAATGTGACTCTGAGGGAGATAGTGTGCGCTTGTGTAGTATGTAGAAGTGTGAATGCATTTGTCTCAAAGTGTGTGCACTTGAGCGTATATCTAGCGTATATGTCTGTCTCCGTGTGTATTAGTGTGAGTGTAAGTCTGGGTGTGGACGTGTGTGTGTGTGTGTGTGTGTGTGTGTGTGTGCGCGCATGCGCGCCTGTGTGTGTGTGCTTAAATGTGCATGTGCATGTGTGAATGAGAGTTTGTGTGTTTGTATATATGAGAGAGAGAGACACAACTCAGTACATTTGTTGTTGAAGTTTACCACTGTAAGAGACACAATGTAGGTCTTTTGAATGTACATCACTTGATCACCCATCAGAACAGAGAGTGAGAGAAAATATTCGAGAAAAGAAGAGAAAAAATAAAAACAGATTCCACTCAGAAACAAACCCAAAACTTTCACAAAGGAAGTCAAGTTCGTTACCTTATACAGCACGCAGCCAGCTTCTACTCATTAGGGGTACAGAACACACAACATTACACAGCAAAGTTCGTAATCAAACAGAGTCCTGTGTGTGTGTGTGTGTGTGTGTGTGTGGCTTGTTAGTGTGTGTAGTGACACACCTGTGGGGAAAGTTGTGCTTTCATAATTTCAAGTTGAAAAGAAGTACACCAGAGTACTATTCTAGTAAGAGTTTTACGGTACTTGCAAAACAATTAGATCATACATGTGCCAAAGATTAGAGATGTTACAAGAGAGTAACAAACACAAAAAGAAGGAGAAGAAATAAGGACAACAGATTTTGATAGGAAAGAAGGAGCAAATCACAGTAGGGCTCCTGTCAAAACATCCACCATCAGAGAACTGCTGACTGTCTTTAAAAAGAGAGACAGAGTAGTGACTTAAGAAAAGAGGAAAACAAAAAAGAAAAAAGATACATTTCACTTTCAAACTGCCCACAAGCAGGATTATCATGAAATATAAATGTATATGTTTGAACATGATGGAAAAATTCCTTATCATATCAGATTTGAAGAAAGAGTAATTTTTTTTAGCCCATACCATTGCTTTGTGCTTGAAAAAAAAACTTTACAGGGCAGCGATGAGTATCTCATTATTGCCACCTTTCAATATGTTTGCAAATTAATCTACAAATTCATCATTAAGTCTGGAGAGAGCATATGTCCAATGGCAAGGTATTTATGACACAAACTGGACTGTTCCATTACAGTGATGAAAATTCCTCCCCATCACCCTTATCTAAACAAGAGTTTGGTTTTCAAAGTCATTATTGAGTAGAAATTCATGTCGTGACACATGTGTGCATACTTTTGGGGATGTCAGAGTGTGAGGGTGAGAAAGATGGTAAGTGTAACAACAACAGCACAACCAGACCTTAACCCCTGTCTCTTTGCTCACGGAGGCCTACAGAGCAACAGAAAAAATACATAAAATGTCAACACTTAGACCCATCACGTCCATATATTATTATTCCAGCAGACCTGATAGCATTCTGAAACAATTTCAATTTCCTGGGAAGCATTCAGTGCAAGCTGCCATTTTACAGGCGCTAAAACACTAACAAACTGAAAAGATCTTTCGCTGTTTATGGCCGGGTACTCATTCACATCTGGGTCAAGTGAGGAAAATTTTTGTAAAGTGCCTTTTCCAAGGACACAATGTCATGCCTGAGGCTCAAATTCCCAAACCCGCAACCTCACAATTAACAGACTGGTAGCCTAACCACTAAACTATAAAAGCTAGCCCCAACAGGCTTCCTAGCCTTGATTGATAAAATATAGATAGTTTAAAAACATCACAGTCACAGACATTTAAAGCTTGTCCTAAAGTTGCTCATATCACATGTGCCTCCACAACCAAAACTATTAAGGCAATTTCCAATGAGTATATAGTTTTAGAAAGACACTAGTGGGTCATTTATCCCATCAGAACTGCTGAAACTAAGAGGATACAAACACTAGACATTTGTCAGAGATGATAATTGGCTAAGGAAAAAGAAAATCCTCAACTGTTCAGGGTCCGTGGAAACACATGCGCAGGGACATAAAACTTAAATACCACATTTTTATACACATCTTATATCAAGCAGTCAGGCAAAATCCAGACAATTTTAGAAATCTGGCTTTCAGGATTTATCCAGAAAATTGGCATCTCTGATTTATACTATACAGTATGATCCCCATCACCACTCACCAGCTCCTCTGCCTGCATGGGTTTTCGATGAACTCCAGCACTCGCCACAGCTGTATTACTGGCATCGGTGCGCTCACTCACAAACTTGCGTTCACTGAAATTAAATAATAATTATAATATCATTTATACCACTCCTATACAGGCTCTACAGCATGCTCTATATTGTACTTTATTTTCCAACCATCACAACCCCAGCAGAAAGTTTATACACTTTGATCATATGAAATATTTAGAGACATGCTAAACTTGAAGAAAATTGCACTGGTAATTGAAATTCTACAAATATGACCCCTGTGTCAATTTTCAGCAGATATCTCCACTCACATATTGCAACAAGTTAATCATTCTGTCAGCACACCTCACACATGTAAGACCCAAAGTGTTTTTTAATTTCAGTAAGAGTTTTACGGCACTTGCAACATAATAAAGTCATTCAGGTGCTGAAGATTATAGGGGTATTACAAGAGAGTAACAGACACAAAAAAGAAGGAAGAGAGACCAGGACGATAGACGTTCAACAGGAAAGAAGGAGCAAACCACACATTCCAGAGCACCCTCCAACCACCCACATTTGTTCAGTAAGATATGAAGGACTCACTGCAGTAGTGAAAGGATGAGGGGAATTCCTCCAAACTGTGAGATGTCCACCCGGCACTCGGCGTCATCACAGAGCAGCACCAGACACCAGACCACATGCCACAACAGACTCACATTGTCACTGCTGGCCAGCTGACTGTGGGGGGCAAAAATACACAAGGTTTTTCTTTTAGTTTAAGTAAAAGTTTTATTGCACTTGTAACACTTTCAGGTCATATAAGCACTGAAAATTAGAGAGAAACATACAAACAAAAGAAGGAGCAGAAATATAGAAGGTAGATGTCTAATCAGAAAAAAGGAGCAAACCATATCATAACATCTATCAACTACCCACTAAAAAGCACAAGACGAGTTGTAAATTCCCAAAAGAGATACATGCTCCAAGCTTTAAGCATATCTTCCAGATATTTCTTTTAAAATTCTCTTCGTGAGTGAAAATAATCAACTTTACAAAGACAAGGCAAAAGTCACTATTAACAACACAGTCGGTCTCAGTTACTAAAACTTGTACAGATCAGTTTACTTTCAGTCTTGTTCTGAGTCTCAAAATGACTTTCAAACATCAAAGAAAATGTTGCAAGTTACACTTTGACGTAGGCAAAAATAACACTAGAGGCATAACCTGACCCTGACAAATATCCCGCTCTGTCTGTCAGTAATCTATTGCTCATGTTGAAGTCACTAAAAGCTGTCAGCCCTATTACAGAAGGATATTAAAAACATAGGTGCTACCTTTTAAATAACTAACCCGCATTGAAAAGGACACTGAAAATAACAAACATCTAGCATGAACATGTAATTCCAGAAGAGGTTAGTTTTAAAGAGTTTTATGGCACTTGCAATACGATTAAGTTATATTATAAATGCCGAAGATTAGAGGTGTTACCAGAGAGTAGCACACAAACAAAAGAAGGAGGAGAGATTTAATAAGGACCATAGATATTTGATAGGCAAGAAGGAACAAACCACACCAGATAATCCACTTGTAACCACACACATTTCAGTAAAATATCCAGAGCATTTTACCTGATAAGTAGTGGAATCCCATCTTCCATCTTGACCTTCTCTCTGGTTTGCTGATTGTCACATAAACACCGCAACAAGTTGGCTGCTAGTCTGCAGAGACATTGACATGCCAAGAGTCAGAAGGAGTCACTACTCTGTATATGTGTGCACTACATACAGACTATAGTTACACACTAAATCAATAAAATGTTGAATTTTAGTTTGAGTAAAGAAAAGAAACGGCTGGAGGTTAAGGAGATTGCTCAGAACAGAGACAGGTGAAGAGCCTTTATTTGCAGCTTATTGATTGGAAGACAGGAGTGATGAGAAGTGAAAGAGAAGCACAAGGACACAATAACGGTAATTCAGTGAACGGAAAAAACAACACAGACAGACAAAAACAGCAACGGGATAGAAAAGAAACAAGAACTACCAGTTGCACACTCCAACAACATAAGTTAACTTTATATATAAAATCCAAGCAAAGATAAAGAAAGAATCTTCTTGTTTACCGTCATACAGAAATTCAGTCCACAATGCCACACATTTTCAATCACACTGCTGCTTAGAGACAAAAAAGAGTTTCACACACAAATACCACCATCATTCGCCCCAATAAAGTGTAAACAACAAGAAATTTCTGCAGCTTGAACATTTTGTCAGTTTTCATAGACAGTTAGTCTCACTCAGTGGTGAGATGTCACTGCTACCAGCACAAGCCAGTAAGACAAACAAAGCATACAAGAACAAACTCCCTCGCCCAATAATAAATCATTCTCAAGAGGCAGTAGTTGATTTGCTACCAAATTTTTGTTTGAGTGCGCGCAAGTCATCTAAATTGTTTCCTTTTACTTAAGACAAAGTGCTTGGACCATCAGAGATATATAATAAGACCTGCCTCTCATATGAGAAACTCATGGTAGAAAGTCAGCTAAGCATGTTAAGAAAGTATCGCATTCATATTCAATTATGTATCCTTGTATGTCTTGCATGTTTTACTACCTTACAAGAAGAAGAGTGACAATCAAAAATCAGATATCTGTGACATTTCTTACTTTTTAGAGATTGTGTCGTACTCTTGTATGATCCTCAGTAACATTTCAACAGCATTCAGCTCAGCAATACAAGAACGAGGCCCTGGGCTGTGAAAAAAAAATAGATTTTGCCAAGAAGTCATACAGAATTCGGTTTGTGTGCCCAGAGACAAATATGAGCATATGAGCAAAAGTTTCCATGAGGAGCCAAATTCAGTTTGAGATAAAAAGAGTATAACTGAATGTTCAGAATGTTGTATTGAGAAAGAGAGAGACATTTTTAGTTTTAGTAAGAGTGTTACAGAACTTGTAACACAATAAGGCCATATTAGAGCTAAAGATTAGAGAAATTACAAGAGAGTAACAAACACAAAAAAGGAGAAAAGATAAGGACGATATAGATGTTTGACAGGAAAGAAGAAGCAAACCACACCAGAGAGGCTGCCAGTCACCCAATGAGAGAGAGACAGAAGCCAAACCTAGCAAGAGAACCAATAAAGGTAAGACAGAAAAAAAAAAGCAGATGAAATAGAACACACTGTAGTGCTTATCTAATATGTGCATAGCTCCGAATAATAAAAGTGACCTGGTTTCAAAGCAAGATGGCTGACAATGAAACCCAGACAAAGCAAGAAAGCAGACACAGAAACCCAGACAGACAAAAACAAGCCAGAAAAACCAGAAACACCCTCAACCATCAATTATTCAATAACTCCCATCAATGTGAACAGCACGGATTTCTCACGCAATGCTAAAAGGCCTGAGACTTGATGCAGAGCACAGAAACCACCACATTTCACCAAGAGTTGATGAGGACAATAGCAACAGTGATAAGAGGTAGAAAGAGCAGACCACACCCAAAAAAGTCCAATAGCAAGCCACATGACAGGTAGACATGAATGCCCCACCTTTGAGCCAAGCCAATAAGTGCATACAGGGAGCAATGGAGGACAAATACGTCAGTGGCCGTCAGCAGTCGTACGAGAGGCTGTGGACACACAAGCAAGAACATACACCATTTATTACACACAAGCTGACACAGAAATATACACCACTTATTACACAAATAAGGCAAAAACATACATTGCTTATTTCACACACAAAGGCAAGAAAGTACACCACATGTAACAAACACAAGGCAAGAACTTTCACCATTTATGATATACATAAGGCAAAAACACATGCAATTTATTACACGCACAAGGCAAGTACACATGGGGTTTATTAAATAGATGAAAGGCAAACACAACAAGGCCCTAATTAAATACATCAAAGGCAAGACCATACACCATTTTTTACCGATACAAGACAAGAACACATGGTCCTTATTACACAGATTAGGCAAAAACACACCCCACTTATTATACACACAAGGCAAGAACACAGGCCACTTATTACACATACAAGGCAAAATCACACACCACTTATTACAAATACAAGACAAGAACACATGGCACTTATTACACATACTAGGCAAAAACACACCCCACTTATTACACACACAATTCAAGAACACATATCACTTATCATAAACACAAGGCAAGAACATGCACCACTTATTACAAATATGAGGCAAGAATATACGTCATTTTGAGTTTTAAAAAAGAAGCACATCAGCACAATAACAGTAATTTACTGCAGACAAACATAAACCACAGAAGGACAGAAAAGAAGCAGTGCCCTCATTCCAACCATCCACTCTCCAATTTGAGGAATACATGAACAAAGCTGACTATGTACACAAACACATAGCTTGCCTTCTACACACACGTGACACACACCTGAAATACAATGGCAGTGAACACAGGTACACATAAGACATACAAAAGTCCGAACAAAGAACACAGTCTTGACTTCAAAGGCGATTGTAAGAGTATATCTCAGAAAAGTAATGCTTAGAATTTTAAAGCATCTATAGTCAAACCTGCTCAAACAGCCACCTGTACAAACGGCCACTTCCCATTTCCTCTCTTGCATATTTTTCACATTATAATGATACTCTTAGACAGGTTTGACTGAGTTCCACGCAATTTACAGATCGGCGCAATCTTGCAATCTTAAGATTGCGCTGCGCATTTTAACGATCGCATGATTGCGCGGCAATCTGAAGATTGCGTTAATATACTTTTTTTTAAATTATTTTTTTTAAAATTCACTTCCGTCTTTATTCTTTTACTCAAATCAAGGAACATTTACATACATTTTCAAAAGTGTAAAAAATTGAAGAGCCCACAAGAATGATACAATGCCAGTTATCAAACTCAAAGTTCACTTCACTTTCATCTTTATTCTTTTACTCACGTCAAGGAACATTGACATACATTTTCAAAAGTGTAAAAATATGAAAATTAAAATCAAAATTAAGATATGAAACTTAAGAGCTCACAAGACCGATACAATTGTACGATCGTTTAAATGCACAGCCCAATCTTAAGATTGCCGCGCAATTATACGATCGTTAAAACGCGCAGCGTGCGCCGATCGGTAAATTGCGGAGAACAATTTGTATGTCTCCAAGAAAGTAATGCTCAAAAGATAATCTATTTTCTTTCATTCATTTTCCTAAAGAAATTTGAGATTTTACTCCACTCATGATACTTTTTTTCACCCATTGTTCATCATCTAACAAGGAAAGACAATGATAATACTGATAAAGAAACAAATTAACATTCTTACGCTGGCGATCAGTGCGCAGACCTGCCAACCACTCCATGACCATGAATAAGAGTTTTCCTTAAAATATCCCCCAAAAATAGAAGTTTGGTTTTAAAAAATCGGAATCTCCAGAACCCCAGTAGATTAAGCTTATGTAACAAACTGACTGTTGCAAATAAATGTTTATTGCAAGTACACGCAAATAAATGCTGATAAAAAAAGTGTACTTTCACGCCATTAACAATACGTCGCATAAGACAAAAAGGAAATGGAACTCAAGGAAAAAAATCAGATTTTATACAAATTCGACTGGAGTTCTTCCACAAGCAAAAAAAAATTGTTTTTTAATTGGAGAGCTTTGTTTTATTGAAGTACTTGACAGGCCTGAGTACGCAATCTATGATGAACAGAACAGACCCACAAAAAGCTAAAACTGTGAGTTTTAGTATACAGTAGGCAGCAAAATAAAAGCGAGATTTCACCTGCAAACCCTCTCCATTGATTGTGAACATATAAAAAATTAGTGCATATTACACTAATCAACAGACATGAGGCACACCAATATATTGAGGAGCTTCACACGAAGCAAAATTAAAAAGAAAAAAACCAGGCATCTGCAAGTTGGATTCATTTCATGATAATTTTGCTTTTACATAACAAAGGGGGGTATAACATCATTATTGTGATAGTTAATTCATTAAGATTATTTGAGGAAGGGAATAATACCAACGGCAAGTAGTCTGAGTATCTATCTAAGGAATGAAGGCAGTGTATGTTATTACATGTACATGCATTTTTCCTTTGTTTGTAGGCAATAAGCATGGTATGCGTTTTCTTTTTCCATAACTGTATACCTACTTTTGCACCTTCTCCCCCCCCCCCCCCCCCCCCCCCTTCCCCTCTTCCCTGGATAATATAGTATACGAATAACACAGAAGCTCATCTTGACAATGTGTTATATCAAGTATCAACACACATAGAGTCAAACATGAAGCAGAATACCATCACACAAAGACAGAGACGTGTGTGCACTCACCAAATGTGTTTTGTATCTAATCAACCAATCACATCGATCAACAGAGGCTGACAACTTCTGGAAAATGTCTGGAAAATAGGAAATCAAAAGAATGTGAAGAGCACTGGTAAATTTGCAAATCCTCACTTTGGTATTTTAACAGATCTGACAAAAAGAGGTCTCGTACAATTACCATGAATGATGGCCTGAATGAATAGAAAGGATCTGAATCATTGACTTAGAGAGCAGCACTATATGTGAGAGGCATCGTGGTGAAATCAGGCGCTTGTCAAAATAATGAAATCTGAGAAATCGACATTTTTTCGAGTTTGGACTTTTTTTTCTTTTTTTTTTTGCCTCAACACCTTGTATGTCCATTCAAAAACACTTATATGCATGGATTTTATTGTAGAACATTACTTAAAGGCATAAAAAAAATTAATTTGCTGTTTCCAAGGACTCCTAAGCTTTGAAGTCACCAAACTTTGGCGGCTATTTTCTCGCTAATTTTACCTCTGAAACCAGGCAACCCCCACCTCCTTCAATCGCAAATATCTCGACTTCTATTCAAGATAAATGGACAGTTTTTTAAATCGAAAACAAGGCAAATTAGCAATCTTTTAGATGAGACCAATAACTCCATATGCCCAAAAATTGACGAGTGCCTGATTCCACAGCGTCGTGACTCAATATAGGAATTCTTTTTTCTTTGTTTCTTTTTTCACACCCCCTCACTGACACAATGTAGATCATATAGGGGGCGTGCTCCGACCCTGCCAGTCAAGGCCTTCCTGCATTGAGAGGGAACAACCTGCAGAAAAACTAATATGCTGGAACTGAACTCGGGTCTCCTCTGCTTTCAATGGCAAGATGCCTTACTTCAGTTGTAGTTATAGTAGAGGTTATAGGCACTCACAACTGCATAAGGTTATATGAGCGCCAGAAGATTAGAGGTGTTACAAGAGAGTAACAAACATAAAAAAGAAGAAGGGGGAGATAAGGACGATAGATGTTTGATAGGAAAGAAGAAGCAAACAACACCAGAGCACCCACCAACCACCCACCAAGATGCCTTGAACAACATCACAGTTACTGGTGACCTGATATTAGCATTCCGTACCAGCAGAAAGTGAAACAGACTGAAGCAACAGGGACAAGTAAAGAATACTTCTAAAATAGTCTTTGTAATTTAAGATTTCTGCAGCAGTCGCCACTTGCTTCACTAGTTCATTAAGACATCTCGCAGATTTCGAAAATAAGTTCTACAATATTACTCCAATCTTTTCAGTTTAGTTTTAGTAAGAGTTTTACGGCACTTGCAACACAATAAGTTCATATAAACAAACACGAAAAAGAAGGAGGGGAGATAATGACGACAGACGTTTGATAGGAAAGAAGAAACAAACCAAACCAGAGCACCTGCCAACCACCGATGCTAATCTTTTCCCAACAACCTCTTGTCTGTTCAGAAAATGACTCTCTAGGCATGCATAAATCATGCTCTTGCTCCAAAGGACACTAACAGAATAAGTATAGATAATTCATTACTATATTCATAATAAAATTCTTCAATACACTGCACAAATAAAACCACAAATACCACAACTGACAACGTACTTGTCATCTCCTGTAGAATGTCCACTGAGATGAGGCCATTGGTACTGTAGAGGTACTCATCTGTCACTCTCTGGAAATACTGCAGGGGATGACACAAATCAAGTTTTTCAAACAACAAAATTAGCAAAACACAAGATCATTTTCTTATTGAAAAACTGATCTTTTTCTGGGTTTTTTAAGATTTAGTAAGCAGAAGCAGATCTGACCCATAATAGTCATCTAGTGCTGGGAAAGGATGACTGTACTTTTTAATCGCTCCTGTAAAACGTGATTTTCAGAATGTACATAACATGTGACTTTCACCAAAGTAATCGATATATTTTAAAAAACACGTCGAGACCTAAGAATGAAGTCACATGCAAAATTTAGAGGACCACTGCCTTCTTTTCACATTTTAATATGGACTACTCCCACTCTTTCTATGTACAAATGGTTTTTTTATATTCGTCACGCTCATAAGATAATTGGCAAAGTCATTTTTGGGCCGGTTTGGAGTTTTTGGTACTGAAATGAAGAGCAGAGCAAGCTTGGTAATATAATTCACTTGGACAAAAGAATAATCCAAAAATAAAATCAACTGAGTGTACCAAAATTCAAGCGTTTCACAGAGTCAACTGTTTGAAAGAAACAGCTTTTTCTCATTTTCTCAAAAAGGCTAAAAATGACTTCCGCATTTATCTCATGGGTGTGACATTATAATAAAAATAGTAATGATGGCCAAAATGGAACAAGGCAAACAACAGATCAAACCAAGCAGAGGCAAAAATTGAAAATTGAGACTTATGTCATTTTTCCCCTGTACTCTCCATATACAAACTGACCTCCACCAAAGACTTGATGCCGTCCAGCTCAAAGAAATGTTTCTGGTAGCTGGAGTCCCTCAACAAAATACGCAGACACATGAGGACCAGCAGGATGTGTTCTGGTGGTGCATGGCTCAGCCACTCTCTGAAACAAAATGCAGTCGAAACTGTAGGCCTACGGCCACCTGTCCAAGACAATCACCCATACAAATGGCCACTTCCTACTTGCCCACTTGTGTTTTTTTCCTATATGTGTCACAACTCGATAGAATCAGACACTCATCAATTAACTGACATTTGGAGTTATTGGTATCAGCCTGTTCCTTTGCCTTGCATTCGATGAAAAAAAAAATACCCATCTATCTGGAATAGAAGCTGAGATATTGCTAACTTCTTTAATTCTGTATATTTACCAAAAACTAATGTAAAACTAAAAAGACTGATGAGCAAAATAAAGACGTCATTGTAGATGGACATTCAACAAAATCGGATAAGTGGCTGCCCCACAACATACATTAGCACAACCACTAAATTAATGAGAAATGCAGAAAACTGAATAAAACCACAGCTTTTAAACACAAAAATGAGATGTTTCATTTGAAATGAGTTTGTAAAAGTATCCCCTGCAGTATTTATTCCCTATTTCCTTCGGCTTGCGGGAGTGTTTGTGTCAGAATGTGTGCCTGCTTAGTTGAATCAGAGCTGAAGTTTATTAGTAAGTCAGCACAGTAAATGCCACATCTTGTATGTGTTTGCACAACAGCAACAGTCTTAAAAGTCAAACACAATGAAAAGTTAAGAGTCAAACACAATGAAAAGAAAAATAATGCCCAAATCACTCAAATATCAACCAATCAACAATAGAGAGACAGGAATAGACACAGAGAAGGAGATAAACAAACAAACACGAAGAGAAGCAGATAGGCAGACACATACAGACAGTGACAAAAACCCAGGAGAGAAAAAGATCAAAAGAGGAAAAAATAGAGACACAAGATGGTAGACAGAAGGATAATGATAGAGAGAGTTGTTGAGTTGTCATCACTATATATCAATTAAGAGTAATTGGGTCATCGCCACATATCCATTAAATGTAACTAGGTCATTGCCACTTATCCACTTAACGTAATCGGATCATCACCACGTACTGTGAGCATAGCCTGTGCTTGGTGAGTGCCACACACACATCCAGGAAGAGCTGGTGCTGGGCTCGACTGCTGAACTGGCGCTCATCTTTGTAACGATCCCTGTTCCGATAGATGGACATAGAAACATAGGTCAGTGGAAATATGGCCATCAGCAGATTTTACCAGCTGAAATTCTCTTTTTCAATTTTACACTTTCATGAATCATTTCGAGGACCACATTACACAATATCTGATACAAAAACAACAATGGTTAGATCTAAAATTCAGTTCTGTTTTCATTTCGAAAGGTATTTGAGTTTTTCAGACCCACATTTTTATATGCAATACAAAAGTTGGAGCTACAACCACAACCTCTTCTAACAGTCACCTGTTTGTAACAACCATCCGGACAAACAACCAGTTCCCATTTCCCCCACTGCGTTTTTTAAGACTTTATAATGACATTTTAAGACCTGGATAGACGGAGTCAAGGAAAGAGTAACAACTAATAGCATCCCCCTGACCCAAGCTCTCCGGCAGTTGGCAGCGAGACGTCTCTTTCTTCCTACGACACCCAGAAAGGTATAAGCGGCGGATAAAAGTAAAAGTAAAGTTTTTAAGGCCGCGGGTAACTAGGCACCGCCTTTAACAGACAAGTACGTTCTTGAAAGTCATCTCGGTTTCGTTCTGTGCCATAACGACCAAATCGAAAAAAACTGAACCGATCTTGCCAATGGGTACTGAGTACGTAACCGACCAAACAGAACTGAACTGAACCGCACCAAACCGATCCTCCAATGGGCACCACCTATAACAAGGTGGCCAACCAAAAACGTTTCTAGTCTCTGAAACAAGCTGTTACCGAAAATGTTCCAGCTGAGCAGCTTCCTGTGCAGCATTCTGGGTTGTCCCGGAGGAGGGCTGGCTGGAAGCTGTCTCACTGGTCAAACGCGACCTTTTGCCAACGGTATACTTGAGGGGAGGCAGCTGAAAATACAAAAATACAAAAAATGATGAAATAATCATACAAAAACACAGCTCAATTTGCCAAAACATATAATTTTAGTAAAAGACATTACTTTGAATTTTTTTAGTGGGTCTGACCACCCCCCGCCC